TGCCGTTTTATTTTTGAGACTTTGGAAACTTCCATGCAATAGCTTACAGCATACCTTCTCTGGTTTTGATGCAGTTTAGCTATTTATAGTGCTTGTACTTGATGAAACAGTTCTTGGAACAAAAAAATACACATTTAATGTTACAGTTTTTCTATCAAATAAATTTCAATTCAGTTCCAGAACTCCATGTGTCTACTCAATGTGTCATTACTCAAGTGACTGGCAAAACTGCACTGCAGCCATGTAAATATCTATCCCATGGGATTGTGATGGTGATCTTGGATCCACTGTGTCCTTTAGTGCTGCAAGCTGCTCTGCTGTAAGTGGACATTCCACAATAGGAACATTAACACCAACACTTTCACCAGGAGGCAATCCACTGCTTTCCCAATCAATATCAGCAATGTTCAGTTCCTGTGTAAACAAAGAACAACATATTTCTGTATAAATCGTGTATAATCTCAGCTGTAATAGTTCCAAATAAGTGTTTAAACACCAGTGAAGGAACATTTAATTTTCACAAACCCTGTAATAGTGTAAACATGGCTTTAAATTAGCATTAACAAAATACCTCTTCATCTTGGGGATCATCAACTGGATAATGAATTTGACCCAATTCCCAGAGCTGGTTTGGAGACATGTTGTGTTCTGTTCTCAAAGGGTGATTATCCCAACCATCTCGGAAAATGCTCAGATCATCTTGTAGCCGTGGTAGAAATGTGTAGTGGCAACAGAAGAGATGTGTTTGGTCTGCAGTATGAAGGTAGCTGGCTTCCTCGAGATAGTGTAGTACATCATAGTAGACACTGGTCACTGCAGTCCACACATCTCTCCAAAGTCGCTCTATTCTACAATATAAGGCATTACGAGTCCTAAGCAATCAGTTCGTTCAAACAAGCATTTGGAGAATAAAGCACAAGGTGACATATGTCTTCTACATAATACTTTCTTTACATACCTTTGATTGTGGACACTTTTTCCAGAAATGAAACTGCTTCTCCCTGTGCCACGAACTGTGAACATTAAACGTGCAATATCCACGTTCTCGACTCCATGGTCTCCTCTGACCCTGTAATGACCATAAAGGCAATGTTTTAATACTTAACATAATGCTTATTTATAAAGCATAATATAACATTCCTGGTGAAGCAAATAAATT